AAAAAAAAAAAAAAGAAAAAAAAGAAATGTAAAAATAGGCAATAGAGCAATATCCTGATAACAAAGTGCCGCTACTGCCACCGACACACAACATGCAAAACTGAAACAGGCGTAATTTGAGCAGTTCAAATTTTGATGTATATCTCAGTCAAAATGACATCATCTGAATGACAAACACAATATATTGGCTTAACAGTCTCAGAAGTAACTACCAAATGTTAATACAATTCCAAAAGGACCAAATTGGCAATAACAAAATTCACTGATTTTTTTTTTTAATTCTCTGTCTGCTCCCTCAGCCTTCGAATGGTGCTCCTCACCGTGACAGCACTCGCGGTGCTGCACACACAGAACAAAACAAATTTAGCCACATTTCAACTGAGAAAAGATACATAACAAAATTAAGTGGGCATTGAAGAAAGATTATTACTTCAAAGTGTAGGCACCACCAGCTTTCACTTTGCCACAGTCCTTGCATCCCCAGATGCCGACAGCTTTCCTCTTCACCGCATACTGATTAAAGAGTCATTCATTCAGGAATATAAAATATACATAAAAGAAAAGGGGGAAAAGTCACCAGTGTATAAAACCACCCAGTCACGATATAAGATATTGCCTTTGCTTCATTCATACCTTGCCACAGAATTCACAGAAGTACTTGCTGTGCTGACTGACTTCCATCTTCTTAATCTGCTTCCTCAAACTAGCACCATAACGAGTGCCTGAATCGTAATGAAGAGCATCAGAAACAGGCCGAGTATAGGAAATCAAAGGAAATTCTATAAACTAATCTAGTCAATTGACATTTTTTCTATTATCAACACGAATCTGTTACAAGGTGATCAAAAGAGGAGACTGTATTAAAATTCCACTTACCATATTTCCCAACAATACCAACCTTCTTGGTTCTCTTGGCCTGCAAAAAAAAAAAATGTTGCAAAGAATCGAAAGAAAACACACAAACACATTACATGCCTTCCTAGGTTATCAGCATTCAAAGAAAAGAGAATTTAGCACATAGCTGCTTCACAAGGAGCATGACTGACTTCTAAAAATGATCATCTTCTCATTAGTTAAAGTTCCTCAGCTATGCTAATCTAATTAGCTAAGGCCATCTCCAACCGAAAAACCCAAACTCAAACCCATTTTGCAGTAACTATCCCATTTTGCAGTAATTCATCTCCAACCGAAAAACTCATTCTCAAACCCAAAAGAATATTCCCAGAATATTCCCTTTTACACCAACTTTTATAACTTTTCAATACTACCCACATATTTTACAACTTTACAAATTAAACCACATTATTATTTTAAATTCAATTTGGACTTTATGTAATTAAAATTAATTATACATAATAAAATCGGAGAAATAAATATTCATTAAAAATTAAAATTTCACCACACAAATAAAAT